TAACTTTTTGTTTGAAAATCATCGTCTATTTTTGCATGGTCCTTTCCACTGGCAACAACACTGGTCGTCGCGGTGGTAGCTGCTGACGCCGCTGATAACACACACTCTGAAAATCCTTGGCTTGCTTCAATCATGGTGCTCTACTTTACCAGCAGTGGTAGGACCAGTTCAGTCAATCCGCCCAGCTATTCAATCCATACTGAATTGCTCTCTTCTTCTTCTCCATTTCAGTGGTCTCGCCACCTTATAGCATTTTTATGGGAAATGACAAGTTTGAAAGTAAGACACCATTCAAAAGCTTTAACTTTTTATCTTTACTTATTCTTGAACTCTTCTCTGTAGATGAAGAACTAATTCGCTGGGGATGGCCTGAGGACGTGTGGTTCCACGTGGACAAGGAGTCGTCGGCTCATGTGTACCTTCGCCTTCGACCCAATGAAACGCTCGACGACATTCCATCCTCGGTCATTGATGACTGTGCCCAGCTGGTCAAGGCGAACAGCATCAAGGGCAATAAGCTAAACAACCTCGATGTCATCTACACTTTGTGGTCCAACCTAAAGAAAACCGCCGATATGGAGGTTGGGCAGGTGGGCTTTTTTGACCAAAAAGCAGTCCGCACGGTGCGAGTTGAGAGAAGAGTCAATGACGTCGTAAATCGGCTGAATAAGACCAAGGTATGCAATTTTGTTTTTCCCTTTATAATCAGGCACATTACACGTTTGTTTACTACCAAAGGTGGTTAAAAACAACGTGGACTTGCGTGGGGAACGCGAGGGTCGCGATAGAAATGAACGAAATACGCAAAAGGAAGTTCAACGAGACCTAAAGGCGAAAGAGAAAGATGAGGCTAAACGAAAGGAAGAGGCGTCCAAATTGCGAAGTTATGATAATGTTATGAAGTCGGAAAATATGACCACCAATGAGGTAATTTCAAAAGCGTATCTAATGGATGCAAATGTAACCTTTTATTGCTTTGCAGACTGGCTACGATTCAGATGATTTTATGTAGGCGGTTTATTTATAAATTATGATGAAAGAATAAAATCGTGCTCATCTCAATCAACTTGTGTTGCTTTTATTTGCAGCTGCAAACATCTGCGCAAAGACAAAATCTTCGTAATCTTGGTGGTCTTTTGGTACACTAGGGTCAGTGTTTTGTGCCGGCTCTGTCTCAGTGCTGGTTGTTGATGATTCGTTGATGCTCAGAATTTCCACACCAAAGTTGCTCGGACAGCCTGCTTGTAGAGCTTTCAGAGATTGTGCACTCGCAAATTCAACTATTGCCGATTTGCCATTACTGGAGATGTGAATGAAGAGAATGGTGCCGAATCGGCCAAGCTGCTCTCTGATCAGTGAATCAGTCAGTTCAACCTTTGTCTTTCTTCGAATCTTTACTTGATTTGGCTTCGCTGATGAAGCCGCCGCTTCCGCTGCTGCTGCTGCTGCAGCACTCTTGCGCTGCTCTTCAAGTTTCAAGTTTATAAGAAAGTTTTCCTCTTCAAGTTGCCTTGATCTGAAAAGTTGAGTTTTAATTAGTATTGATCAGCTACTTTACAATCAGCACTTACCCTTCTTTTCTGATCCGCTCAATATCACGCTTCAGTTTTTCTTCTTCATTTAGGAGTGCTTCCTCTTGGGCAACCTTCTCTCTGGCTTCAAGTGAATCTTTCAACTTTCGCCGTTTGGCGTCAAGTTGCCTGAATTTGAGCTCTCTTTCCTTCTTCGCTCTAAGAATCTTATCATACGACGATCTCGCCTCTTTATCTGTCAGCACTTCAAGTGCCTTTGACAGCTTCTGAAAGACTTCCTTGGCTTTCGGGTTGTCTGGATTTTTGTCCGGGTGGTACTTTAGTGCCTTCTTGCGATAGGCCTTCTTGATCTCCGCCTCTGTTGCCTCCTGAAGTACGTCAAACAGCTCGTAGAGGTCGACATTTTTAAAGTCAATATCGGAGCTCATTCTGATGATTATCTGATGAAATGCACGTGCAAAACAAAATATAAACACTTGAAAAGAAAGTGCACCTTTGGTTTGCAGTACACTGCGGTGAGACAATTCACAGACACTGTTGCGGTGTGCTGCAGGAGAAGATCAGCTGATTAGCGCGATGAAACAAAAGCGTCTTTTCAAATTCTTTGTGTCGCTTGATTTTCTCATTTCCCTCCAAGCTGCCAAATTGCCGTTGATTGTTTGAAGTTTCCTTTCACTTCCTTTCACTGCCACCTGGAAATATGTTTGCAAAGCCTGCACCAAAGCGGACCTATACAAGTACTGCCTTTAACTCTTACAATGGAAATCCCAGCGCAAAGAAGCCAAAGACGGCCGAAAAAGAAGTAAACGAAGAAAAAGATGAAGAGTATGAACTGATGGAAGATGGCCTCGATGATGTCCTAAGTCAAGCATGCGAGGAGTACAAGTCACAGGCCGTGGAACAGATTGACGCTGTTGATGCTCAAGTGCAGAAAGAGATAAAATATGATGATTACTTGAAATTGGTCAAAAAAGATGTAGAAAAGTTCAGAAACCGCAAACCCACCACAACAGCGTCAACAGCGCCAACAAGCAATTCCAACAACGAGTGTAAACTAGAAAGGCTGCGATGGGGAATCAAAGAGATTGAAAAGCTCCTTCCTAATAACCCGAGAATCCTAAAGACCACCAGCAACTTGTCGGCTCTTCGCCAACAACAGCAGGACTCAATGTCGCAGGAAATCTGACGACAAAGAGGAGAGAGTGGTTTTAATTCATTGGCTGCCATTTGTTGTTAACCCCACGTGATAATCCTAATAAACAAATGGGTACATGAAAACCACCTATTTCGGAGGACGATTCCTGGTAGGGAGCATGGGGGGAGCAAGGTCGCCTGCCCTGAACAGACATCTTTTTCTCCGCAGCAGCAGCAGAAGTAGTTCAGTTCATTGCCTCCTCTAGCACTCGAACAGTGCGCATTAGGAGAAGAAGGCAGCTGCTGACGACTGGCGCTTGAGAACAGACTCATTGCGGTGTTGTTGTTTGCTACTACTTTTGCTACTTCTGCAGCCTGAGTCATTTGCTGGCTGACTCTCACCCAAAACACAGACGCACTTTTTGCTTTGCTCCTTTACCACGACGTTCTTCGACTTACACTCGGACGTTTCCACTTTCCTTCTGCTCTGTCCGTCCAACAAATACCTTTCCCACATTCTCTCTTCTTCGCTCGGATCAGAACCTGATCAAGTAGTAGTATCACCAGGATGGGCCGAGTCTTCCTAAAGCACATCGGCGGCCAACGCCTGTACGTGTGCGCTGGTTGCGAAACGCCACTGACCAATCGAAGTCAACTTCTCAGCACTCGGTTCACTGGAGCCACGGGCAGGGCCTTCCTCTTCAACAACGTCGTCAATCTGACCTACAGGTACGCAGCTTTGAAAGTTCCTAGTAGCTACTAGATTTGGTTCATTTACACTTCACCCTTTGCTTTCAGCGAGGTCCAAGATCGAGTGATGCTCACTGGTCGACACATGGTTCGCGATGTGTCCTGCAAGAACTGCGACACTAAGCTGGGATGGATCTACGAGTTTGCTACGGAGGAGAACCAACGCTACAAGGAAGGCAAGGTGATTCTAGAGCGAGCCCTGGTGAATGAGATAGACGGGATGAATGAGATTGTTCACAATGACTAGCATCAACTGCAGGGCCTAGCTAGTCAGGACGCCCCCCATTTTTTACTGTATATACGAATACTTTGACCTCATCTACAAATATTGTGTTATCTTACCACTCTTTAATCTTCTATTTTCGCTCTCTCTCTCACGAACTCGCGTACTTCCTACTGATCATAAATGTGAACTAACTGTGTATTTATATGATATTTTATTTATATTATAATCACCAGCGGCAATATGCAATATACATAAAACTACTCAGCTGCCTTTAATGTTGCCCAGATAAAAGACAAAGACAAGCAATCAGTGTACCGCCCCTTTCAGTACTCGTGTTCAATTCGTTTGTAGGAGGCGATGGCCTGCGCCACCGAGTAGAGCACACTCTTCGCCACCGAGACCGAGTCGTCCATGGTGATGAGGTTCAGGCCGAGGATCAGTCCTGACTCGCGAATGAAGTAGTCGACGTCCTTGTTGTTGCACTTGTTCGCCAGCTTCGTCAGCTTGTTCTGCACCGAGGAGAACTCATTGTCTAGGTCGTACAGCTCCAGCTCGGGCTTGGTCAGCGAGCGAAAGACGGGCGGAAAGACGGCTGGCTGGAGGGCGGGCAGCGGCGTCTCAAAGTGCGGCTTGATCACCTGCAGAGCGCGCTTCTCAATCTGCAGCTCGTCGAAGGTCCGGTTCACCTGGTACAGACCGCGGTTGGAGATGCGCTTGATCTCCCGCGAGAAGAGACTCAGGTAGTCGGAGGGGATCTCCTCGCTCTCGGAAAGGAAGAGCATCGGATTGCTGCAGAGCACCTCCAGGTCGGGCACCATGTTGTAGTCGGTGATCTCCGGATTGGTCGAGTCGATGGAGTTGAGCGAAAAGGAGGCGTCGCTGAAGTACTGCAGAATGAGGTCCAGCAGCAGGGTGTTGCTCTCTTTGGGCAGGTACTTGTCGAGCAGCATGTGGCCCGAGCCGAGGACGACCATCTTCCCGCCCTTGCCGTTGTCTCCACTTGCAGCTGTCGACTCGTAGAAGGAACAGGTGGGACGACAGGGCGGGAAGGAGGTGCTGCCCGTGGAGAGGACGGCCACTGATGGCTTCACCACGTTCAGGGTGGCTCCAAAGGGGTACAGGTAGAGAAGGGATTTGAGGGCACCGCCGGAGCCGTTCTGCAGTTTGCCGGCGTACTGCAGCAGGGCTCGGTTGAGGACGCCATCCTGGATGAGCACCTCCTTCGGATTGTAGTACTTGTAGAAGGAGGTGCGAATGACCTTGTCTACAGGAAGAGGAGTTTACCTGGGGAAGCCTTTGTGTGCTCACTACTACTGACCATTGTTGATGGACACTCCAAACTCCTCGAGAAGGTAGTTGATGTTGGTGGTCGACTTGCGCTCTCCGCCCTCCTCCAGCAGTATCAGCACTTTTCCACCAGCACTTTCGATGTATTCCTTCAAAGAGGTGAACTGCGTCGGCAATTGATTTTTAGAATGTGAGCATTATTCAGCACAAGTTCAGTTCAGCATGCCTACCTCAAGTTGGCTGTACTTCATTTGCGGCATAAAGAGCACCACCAGATTGTACTTCTTCAGCAGTTCCCCACTGAGGGACTCTTTGTTGCTGAAAGGGAGAGACACACACATTTGCATGATCATCATCATCACTTTAAGGGGCGACACTTACATTGTACACTTGCATCCTTTCAGCTTGAGTCGCTTCAAGAGCAGTTTGCTCTCATTCTGCGTATTTGTCGTCGCACTGGGTCGTCCATTGACAGCCACCGCTGGCACCTGCTTGCTAAAGTCAAAGAGAATCTGATCTATAGCGCCCACTGGGTCTCGCTGTACCGGAAAAAGAATTAATGAATTATGGGCAGGGTTAAAGAAAAGAAAAGAAATACTCACCATGATTGACTCTCACTGCTGGAACACTGCTCATTAGTATTGCAGGTTTCAATTTGACTACTGCATTGTTGTGAGTGTGTGTGTGTGCAAGTGCACCAGGTCGCCATGGTCACCACTGCCGCTGAAGAGGTAAAGTGCAAGGACAAACACATACTCACTCACTCACTCGTTCAGCACAAGCACAGGCAATGCCGCGTTAGGTGACCACGTAATTAACAGCATGACAATTGGGTTTTATTTCATTAGTAATAAATAGTAATAAATATATTTATATATATTCAGTTTCACTTGTATAGTACAGAGTAGACACTAGAAGGAAGGGATGCAAAGTCGTTTCCTGCTTGCTGAAGTGATGTCTGTCGATGCTACGGCGATGTCTCTTCTCCTTCTCACCAGCCAAAGTTGGTCAAGTTAGAGCTAGCATTGGCCGGTGGTGGTGCAGTGCCCGTTGGATTTGACACGTTGAAAGCAGAACTACTGCCGTTTGGCTTAAGGTCAAAATTCAGTATGTTTCCCAGAGAGGAGGTGTTCGCAGTGGATGAGGAAGAAGCATTGACAAAAGGGTTCACTAGATTGGACTGACCACCGCCCAACATTGAAGTACTGCTCGCTCCCAGGCCCCCAGAGGCTCCAGTAGAGAACCAGTTTAGATTATTCAGTCCGGAAGAAGAGTTTGTTTGCCCCACCAAGGGTGCACTGCCCAGAGGCAGCTGAGATACATTCGAAGACGGATTCAGTTGCAGAGTCGAGAGACCCTGAGAGACAACAACAGCAAAAAAGAGTCATTAGAGAGTGAGTGAACAGGGGAAACAAAATTGCCAATTAAGCAAGTAAACCCCACACAAAACACAGACAGGCGCTTTAAACGTTTGTCATGGTAATCCCTACCTGAACTAATTGCGGTTGCGAAAAGTCAGTAGGCATAAAAGCCGAGTTGACATTACTGTTGGCTAGAAATGGGTTGGTCGAAGCCATTAGATTGGTCTGCTGAAGTTGAAAACAAAAAACGTAAGCATTAGAACACAGTCTATATATTTGGAGCATTATCTCTCCCCCGGTGGGCCGTATACACGTACCGCTTTCGCTGCTAATGGTACACCACCAGCAACCCCAGCACCAGGCATGGTGCCAAAGGGCGCATTGCCCGCTGGGAACTGGCTCATGGCGCCCACTGCCTGCGGTGCCATAAAGCCATTCATCGCCGTAGATGCGGGCGCTTTCGAGTACAGCGACAGAATGGATTCCTTTGTCAGCTTCTTCTCCTCGGGTACCTTCTGACTAAAAAAGTCCTTCTCCTCGTCTTCCAGCGACTTGGCTGGCAATGGCGCCACCAAGGCTGAACTGTTGGTGGCGGCGATGGCGGCGGTGGCGTCTGCACCAGTCGAGTCGGCGGATGCAAAAAAGCCAAAGGGTTCATCGTTGCCGGATGATATCAGATCTAGGCCGAGTAAGTCTGTAGAGCCTGAACTTGCTGTGGTGTCCACTTTTGGCTGCGTCGATGCAGTGCTCGCCGTTTGCGCCTTCTCGCTTTTGCCATTCACACTGGCGTTTGGGCGTGGAATCGGATTAGACTGCAAAAACAAAAGGGAACGATAAACATAAAATGAGTCATAAAAGCACGACAAACACGACAACAACAACAACGACGACGACGTACCTGTATATCAGTTTGAGCGCCAATTGGGCTAATCGATTTCATCTGGACCTTGCTCTTCTTTTTGTCCTTCTCTTTCTTTAGCTCCGTTTCGACATCAAACTGTATAAACAATCATCAGTATGCCATAAACAAACTCACGACCAGACAGCAGTGAGTACTTACAGCTGGCTTCGGCGTAGTTTCCACCCATTCTTTAGCAATGTACTTTTTATGTTCGTATTTAGCCCTAATGAAAGACTCGAGTGATGAATCGGTTTGTGGTCGGCTGAAGTTATCGGGTAGGTTAGCCTCGTAGACAGCTCGTGCTTTGCTATTGCCCATATTCTGAATGGAGCCCACTTGTTCGGGCGTCCACGAGTCCAAGTTGACTGATTTTACCCTCGATATATGAACGCCCAGATTGCGGTGGATTCCAGCGCAGCGAATGCACAGGAAGATGCCCAAGTTCCAAGAAGCCCATCTGGGACCTGTGTGGAAGGAAAAAATAGAAATTAGCGTGGGAATGGGTGCACCCTCAACCGGGCTACCTTTTGAATCACAATCGACGCAGTATTTGTTGTCTTCATCACGCAGCAGCTCAGTCAGTATCTGTTGACACTTGTCCTGTACTAGCTTTTGCTTATCACGTTCTAGTTTGGTCAGGTTGGCCATGGTTTCCCTTGCGATGATGGATCAGGTGCTGGTGCTGGTGCTGGTGCTGGTGCTGGTGCTGCAGGTGCCGGAGGTGCTGGAGATGAAGGTGCTCAGTCGGTGGGGCCCAGAGAGGGGCCGGTGGTGGGCAAGAACAGCGACAACAACAGTCGGCGATGGCAATCAATCGAGGCGGGCAATCGGCGACTGTGGCTGTGACTGCGGCTACGGCGGCGGAATATCTCCAGTGGACAGCTGGTTTCAGGCACGACTTCAATCGACAGCAGCAGAGTCAACTGAGTGCCAACGAGTGTGCACAACACATACACAGACACATACACACACAGACATAGACAGCTGCCACAAAGAGCGGCTTTCCGAAAGACTGCTGCCGCTAGCAGTGGTGGTGGTCGCACTGCCTGTCTGTACAGCACTGCCAGAATTGGCCACTGATGAAGCGGCGACGGCAGCAGCAGCAGCAACGGAGGCAGTGGCAGCAGCCACACAGGCAGACAGTCCAAAAGTGGATGATGATGATGGTGGTGATGATGGTGCTTCAAGAGCTGAAGGAAGAGACCAACGCCGGGCGCCACAAAGTGTGCAGTGATTAGCCCAGGAAGGCTGTTTGACTGACTGACTGATGGCTGCTGCTGTTCTCTCACTCTTTCAACATCAGCATCCTCTTCGCTGGGAGTTAGTTAAATACTTTGCATAAGTTGCTGCTGTACTGGTCGGTGACTGGTAGCCAGTGCCACTGTCAATTGTTAGGCAATAATCAACCACTGTATCAACCACCGACAATCGATTGATATTGCTCCAAAGTGATAAGCACGCTTTGGACAGAGGAAGCAGCTGATCAGCAGACAGTTTATGGTGCTCCAGTCCCAGCTTTCTCACCTTTCACACCTCAGCGCAGAGACAACAGCAGCAACAGTTGTTCTATTAGCAGCTTTCCTAAACTACTGTCACCGCCAAGTTCCCTCTCCACCGTCGTTTTCGCCGTGTTCGTTGTCAGGCAGTCATTCGATGCACAGTAATCAGTTGATTTGTCGTACATAGTTTTGCTGATATGTCGAAGTCGAGAGGTTAACACTTGTCAACAACAAGCTCATCAAGGCCAGCCAGTGATAAAAGCCGGCCAATCAGTGCTGTATATGCAGACGCACAGCGCCCTACTGAATTGATATTTAATAGCCGACAAACAGCCTCAGTCTGACATCCTCTGACAGCAGCAGCAGAAGTAGCACTCAACTAACCACCAAAGACATGACTTTCACCGTTGAAGCCTTTTCCGAGGGACCGTTCGAGCTGGGCGAGGGCCCCCACTGGCACCCTCAGCTGAAGAAGCTTTTCTTCGTGGACATTACCGCCGGCTTCGCCGCCACCATTGATGCGGCAAAGAAGGTGCAGGTGCTGCACCAAGAGGACGCCGGGCACACGGTGAGCGCAGTGCTACCTGTTGAGGGACAGGACAACCAGATCGTGGTCGGCGTGGACACCAGCGTGTACCTGGTCGATGTGGCCACCGGGGAGAAGAAGCTGCTGGACAAGCTGGCCACCGGCGGGGTTCGCTTCAATGACGCCAAGTGCGACCCGAAGGGGCGACTGTGGATTGGCACCATGGGCTTGGAAACGGCGCCCGGCGTGCTCACGCCCGAACAGGGCGCCTTGTACCTCCTCAGCAAGGACGGCAAGCTGAGCGAGCAACTGGAGAAGGTCTCACTCTCCAATGGACTGGCCTGGTCACTGGACAACAAGACGCTCTACTACATCGACTCATTTGTGAGACTCATCTACGCATTTGACTATGACATTGACACGGGAAAGATTGGTAGGTGGTCAGGTTCTGATGCACGCCGTTCCGGCAACTAACTCAACGTTGACTTTGTTCTCTCTTCAGCGAATCGCCGTGTGCTGGTGAACATGAACGAGGACAGCGACTTTCTCGCCGCCGAGCTGCCTGATGGCATGACCATTGACGCAAACGGCAATCTGTGGGTAGCCATGTTTAACGGCAAACGCATCGTCAGCATTGATGGGAAAACTGGTCAGTTTGAGTTTCAGTTTGCATCTTTTTGTTTCTAACACAAAACTGCTCACTATTGCAGGCAAAGTGATTGATGTGATCAAAATGCCCACTTCGATGGTCACCTCCGTGTGCTTTGGCGGTCCAAACCTCGACGAAATGTACGTGACTTCAATCAAGAAGTTCCTTGATGAGAAGCGCAAAGCAGAAGAGCCGCTGGCCGGTTACATCTTCAAGGTGACGTCCACGAAGAAGGATTTTAAGGGTCACTTGCCCAACTTTGCTTTACAATTTTAAGCGCATTTTGCTCCAATATCGCCAATAAACCATTTACTTTATACCTTTGACTGCAATTTTCAGCGATACATCACAGCGGAATATAGTACAGAGAGCTTCACGTGACTTGCGAACAATGGTAGAAATGGTGCTGCCCTTTGGGCCGATGATCAGCGACTGAAACTTGGCTGGACAGAACAGGTTCACTGCAATAAAGAGGTTGCCCACCTCATCAAGGTCCCACATGACTATCTCAAAGTTGATACTGTACGGGATTTCCTGGTGAAACAGCTCGAGGCACACTTCTCTGATTCCGTCAAATATCAAGTTTTTCGGATTCTCTAAAGTGACGGCACTGCCACTGTACAGCCACGGCCGATGCTTTGCCTTGCTGAGAAGGTACCTCCGCAGGTCATCAACGCCGTCATTGTGCAGGGCAGATATCATGAAAACACGGCTAAAGTTAGGCCATCCAATTCCATCTTCATTTTCGACCGCACTGTTTTCATCTTGTTCCCTGTCCGCATATTTGAGGTACTTTTCCTCCGTTTCTTTAAAAAGCTCGTCAAATTGTCCCCGTTTCAGTTGCATTTTAATGCTACTTCGATCTGGTTTGTGAATCGGATTTCCACCCACTATTCCTGAGCAGAGTGTTGAGGTAATATCAAGAAGATTGCGCTTTTGCTTTACTCGGTCGATTTTGTTGAGCAGAAGAATTGACTCCTTGTCGCGATTTTTCCTCAGCATCTCAAGAATGCCGCGGTTGATCTTGTGCCTTTCTCGTTCATTTGAAACATCGGCAAGGATGGCAATCACATCAGACTTGACCATGGAGTAGTAAACATCATCGACTAGTGACTTTTCAAGATTGTGGCGACTGATGTGCCTGTTGTTTACCAGTCCCGGCGTGTCAATGAATTCAATTTGCGTCTTATCCTCCACAAAGACGCCGATGACATTTTTCTGCGTGGTGTGCACCTTCGATGAGACTGCGCTCACCTTCCAATTGATCAACTGGTTGAGCAGTGTTGATTTGCCTACATTCGGACATCCAACAATGGCAACTCGAAGCAACTTTGCCTCTTCAGGCTGTTCAATCGGCTTCTCCAACAGCTCTGTAAACTGCTTTTTCGTCTTCGGAACTTCGCGCTGAACGTAAGTGCCATATCTTCGTAATGACCTAAAAGAGGTAAGTGTGTTAAAATGTTAGGGTATTCTGGTAAATCTGGTACCTGGTGAATTGATGCAAAAGCGGCATGGCCAGCCAAAGATATTTTGGTTTGTTTTGAAGCAGTCACGTGAAGCTGGTACGGCGCATGACACCTCCCGATTGCGTCATGTACGCCTTGGGTGGAAACAGAGGAAATCAGCTCGATGCAGCAGCAGCCAGAGAAAAGCACTGACAAAGGCAGGACTTGTATTTTCCACGCGGCGGCTGTCGGCTTTGTTGCTCCCGGCTTGACGATCTTCAATCTCACCAATCTTGGAACTACTTCTACTTCGCCCATCGGCTTCCCCTGGACCAATTCATCGATCAACATCGCTAAAACAGCCAGAAGATGCCACTCTCCTGTCGCTTTTACAGCCAAAAGTTTCCCGAAGTGGAAGACGTGGTGATGGTCAATGTTCGCTCCATTGGCGAGATGGGCGCCTATGTCCATCTGCTCGAGTACAAGAGCATAGAAGGTAACGGATTGTGTTTGAGTTTGGGTGAAATCGTCTAATTAATCTCCTTCTAGGCATGATTTTGCTTTCTGAGTTGTCTCGTCGGCGTATTCGTTCCATCAACAAACTCATCCGCGTAGGTCGAAGTGAATGTGTTGTGGTCATTCGAGTTGACAAGGAGAAGGGCTACATTGATCTGTCCAAGCGGCGAGTTTCTCCGGAAGACATTGTCAGATGCGAAGAGAAGTTCGCCAAAGCCAAAGCGGTATGTTTACCATTGCAAGATGCTTATTTATTCTAAGCATTTTTTCAACTTAGGTTCATAGTATTCTGAGACATGTCGCTGAAATTCTTGACTACAACGAGACACAGTTGGAAGAACTGTACACAAAGACTGCCTGGTACTTTGATGAGAAGATGAAGAAGCAGGCATCTTCTTATGATATTTTCAAATTGGCTGTAAAGTACGTTGACAGATCAGATTGACCGGAGTTTTCCCATCTCACGCTAACTCCATTGTTTTCTCTTTTCACAGTAACCCTTCAATTCTGGATGAGTGCGGTCTTGACGAGAAGGTGAAGGAGCTGCTTCTCACGCACATCAAGCGCCGTTTGATGCCGCAAGCTGTCAAAGTTCGATCTGACATCGAAGTTGGCTGCTATGCGTACGAAGGTGTGGACGCCGTCAAGAACGCTCTTCGTGCCGGCATTGCCTGCGGTGATGAGGAGATGCCCATTAAGATTAACCTAATTGCGCCGCCTCGCTACGTGGTCACCACTACCACGATGGACAAGGAAAAGGGCCTCGCCATGCTCACTGATGCGTTGGCGAAAATTGAAGAATCAATCAAGAAATCAAGCGGAATCTTCACAATTAGCATGGCGGTACGAGACATTTTCCCACCAGATGTCAATTGTGACTGTCAATCAATCTAACTTTTTTTATTTTATTCTATTCTCTCACTTTTATTTATAGCCTAAGGTTGTGTCCGACTACGATGAAGCTCAACTGGTTCGCCTCATGGAACAGGCGGAGAATGAGAACAGGGAAGTGTCTGGCGATGAGGAGGACGAAGACGGCTCGGGCGATGAAGAGAACTTTGATGTGAACGCCTAAATTGAATACGCCGTTTTGCACTATGTTTTAGCAGCCAAATCGAATTTCTTTTTCCGTTCTGTAAACAAATGCACTCATCAAGAAAATTGGTTTATAAATCTTTTTTTGCGTACTCTTCAGCAGTGACATTGCCGCTGCCATCGCCGCCGACACTATTGGCGACCTTGCCTCCAAAAGAAGTGCCACTGAACTCTGATGTGCGTGGTTACCATTTTAGTAAGTAGGTCTTGCCTTCTTTCTCCATGTGTCTTTTGTTTACTTTGCATTGTGTCCCACACACACTGCTGTGACACTGTCACAGCGGCTTGCTTTAGCAGCATTGGGCGCACCACACTTTGGAAATGCCTAATTGGCGGTGATATCGACAGCCAAAGCAGCCATAGCCTATATCCTAAGAGGCCGCCGGTAACTGGGTCTCACTCACTGCACAGTGTGTCGGGCAAGGCCACACTTCGTGCGAATGAGTGTGTAAAACAAACAAGCTTTCGATGTAGAGCAGAAGAGGAGGGAGCAGAGAGAAAGAAAGAGAGGTAAGGCAATTTGAACAGTGGTAGCAGACACACGAGGAAATGAGTGATAGCGATTGCAGCCATAGTTTGCTCAATTAGAAAGGCACACCGTTTAGGCACAGGTAATTAGTGAAAGTACCACGAAGGGGATGGATGGAATGCTCATGGTATGTCTAAGCCAAGGAGGAATGATGAGGCTGCTGCCGCCGCCGCATCGTTTTAAAGACTGCAGCGTGCAACGGCGTCTGCTGCTTCTCCTCCTGACTGGCATTCTCTTGAATTAGCAACTCATGACTTCGGATGCTGCTGCTGCTGCTGCTGTGAAGCCTTGTGGAAGACAATGGACAGCGAGCCATTTCCAGTATCATCATCATCGTCACCAGCATCAGCATCAGCAGCAGCAGCAGCAGCACGATCAGCACTAGTTGGCCAGTAGTGGCACAGTAGAGTCAGCTGTGTTCGTCGTCGTGCGGCTGTTCATTCCTTTCGTTGCAGATCGCTCACTTCACTTGAAACGGGTTGCCGAACGACGCAATTAGCACAGTCAAAGTGATGGCGGTGGTGGTGGTGGTGGTGGCTCCAACTCGATGGCTGCCTCTGCCCTATGCCTTCCTTCTCTCTCTTTCTTTATTTCTTTCTCTCAGTTTACCTCTCGCTGACTTCTAGCACCGTTGCATACACTGTCTCAAACTAGTTTCAGTTATGAGTGGAGAGAAATTAAAGACGAAGAAGAAGATGGGGAAGGTGGTGGTGGAGGAGGAGGAGGAGAAGGAGAAGGAAAGTAGGAGGAGGGGGCCACTGATTTCGTCTCATTTCAATTGAAGTGCCAGCAGTGTGAGTAGTCAGTCAGTCAGTGAGGACAGACAGCTGGGCAGATTCCTGTCTACCTTCACAGATCCGGAGTGGACTGAGTGAGCACAGACTACGGCAGACTACAGCACAGGCAGGACAGGACATGGACGCCAGGCTCAGGTGGAAGTGGTACTCACTGACTGAGCGAGTGAGTGAGTAAGACTGCATGGCACACTGACTGACTGACAGACACTGCCCAGTGCGCAGGCAATGCAGGGACTCCTCTCGACGAGCCATAATGCGTGCCTACATCTTCGACGGATCAAATGTGTTCACGTAACGGAGACGAGGCAAAGGAAAGGCAGGCGAAGCGGCGAGTCGCTGACTGGACATCGAAGCTCGCCGTTGGAGTACTACTCTACAGTGGTTCTCTTTCTCTCTTTCGCACTATCTTTCCTTCTTTTCTTTTTCTCTCCTCTTTTCCTCTCGACTGGAACAGCAGCAGCGACCACTTGTTGCACTGGCGCAGCTAGCTCACTGGCGCAATTGGCTCTTTCTCTCCCTCGCTTTCCTCTTTGCAGTGAACACAGTGCTGCACTTTCAATGTTCACTCCACAATTTACCTTGTTTGTTCGACGTCGCTTTTCTTCGCCGTTCTTCGTTCGCCGTCTCGCTGCCAGTCGATCGCAGAGATTGCCTCACCACAGTAGGCAGTGGCAGTGTCAGCAACAGCACCAACTTTGATCAACGACACTCGGCGAATATGTGACTGACCAGTGTTTCCTTGCGCAGTCTTACCACTTCACCTCCATGACTACCATCATCATTACTGCCACCAGCACTGCCAGTACCACCTCAATCAGTGAGGACATCGTCGAGGCGCCGTAGCCTCTCCTTGTCCCCTCTCCCTCCTCGCACCCATTGCGTCCCCTCTAGTCAAATGTTCGCCTGGGTCGTCTCGGTGCACGATGATCAACCAGTCCAGGACAACCACCACCACCATAAGCAGCCACTGCCGAGGCCGTCGACAGCTACGACGGCTGACCACCACGACGACCATCACCGGCAGTGGCCACCTACTTCTTCTTTTCAGTACCTTCATTTTGATATTCACCCCGCCGTGGGCATTAGTCCTTTGTGGTGAGTGTGTCTGCTTTTGCTGTTTCTTGTAAAGCGTAGAGGAAGTGAAGTGCAAGTGAAGTAGATTATGATGTATGATGGCGTGTGAGTGCATCCCACAATCATTACCATCATCATCATCATCAGCCTCATCCTCGTTGTCACAGTCGCTGTCGCTGTCGTCGTCCGCATCAGCACCACTCGACCCGACAACCCAGTGATCAGTGTGTCAGTCGTCGAGGATGAGGTGTCCCCACAGTGGTCTCACACACACGCTCATTCACACGCACATGTCCATACTGGTCAATACATCTGTCTGTCGTTTTCCGCCCACCGGATTAGCACACAGGGCATATCAATTCGATTACTGTGATCCAATTAATTTAACTGTCAGTGGTGATGAGGACGGCGACTGTGACTGTGACGGCGACTGTGACTGTGGCAGGCGTCAGTGTGACAGACGGACGCTGATGCGATTGTTGATTTAGCTGTGTGTCTTTCTTTCTTCCTTCGTATTTCTCGGCTAGTCATGCTCGGTGTCCGGTGATCCCCCTGACTCGCCATCAGCGGAAGCCATCGCTGACTATATTCATCGATGACTAGCGACGGCCATTTATCCCTTTCTGACAGTGCCTATCTCTTTCTCCCCTTCTCTGTCCACCTCCATCTTCAGACACACACACACGGACAGCCAGTGTCCAGTGGGCTTCAATGGTGGTCAACATCTTAGACACAGGGCTAACTTTTGCAGGTCGAATGCAAAATAAAGCTCTGGCGGTGGAGTTCACCTGTTACTGCTGCTGCCGCCGTAGTTGTTGTTGTTGTCCTCGTTGAGTATGCTTGTGGCAGTGGCTGATGTGAGCCAGTGGCAGTGTGTGATCCTCATCACTCGCCCCACAGACGCCCCATTGTTTGCCACTTTTACACCACCACCGCCGCCGTTGTTCGCCAGAGAGAATTCAGTCAGTTTCTTCTTATCAATCGAAATTGTCTACCTGTCCAGCGGAGCGTTAAGTCGGCCGTTCAGAGCGTGCTTTCCGTGAAGTAGCGGCAACCACGGCAGTCCACTGGCTCCACTGCTGCTGCTGCATATGCAGCACTCCAGTACTGGGCGCCCCGATTTGCATTGCTCACGATTGGTGACGGGCAAACTGTCATTGCATTCAACAGGTCTTGCTGCCCTCTTCTGCCCCGCCGTCGTCGTGCTCGGCCGAGTTGGCTGCCGCACACTCTCTCACATCAAAACACAGAACACACCAAACTCTCTGCAGTTTGCCTCGTTTGAATGATACAGAACAAGTGCAGGCCTGTGTCCTCCCTCGACCGTCAGCGGAGGAATAGAATCGATTCATGCAGTGGTCCACTAAGTGGCCACTTCGATTGACTGAACTCGGGGGCATTGTGTTCGCCACTTGTCCTGCGCCTCTTTCGGCCATTGTCGGCGTCGGTGGCTATGATCACCGTCGACAGAGGTGCTGCTGCTGTTGGTTCCATTCCACTGGAGCTGCTGCTGCTGCCTCAGTTGCTCTTCTCCTGCGCCTGGCAGTCACAGTTTTAGATGACTGCCCAAGTCAGTACATTTGCCACTTTACTTACTTACTTACCATCGCCACCTTCGAACCTGTTCGGTGCGCACTAAAGGAGTTCATTCTCACAAGCAGCAGCAGCAGCCTCGGTGTTGTTGGGCCTGTGTGCCCTTGAAAGTTAATACCCCTGATCTGTCATCGATCAGATTGACGCTGATAAGTGCCTCTCTACCCGCCGCACTCGGACACTGATTGCACCTTTGATTGCACCACTTTACCTCTGACTCTGACAGATTGTCTTCGGCTGGCGGCAGTATCACTCACCAATCGGCGCCATTATACTCTGCTGCTAATGTCGAAGTAGTGCAGAAGGTAGCCAAGCATGGCCAGCAGTAGGCGAACAACAGCAGAAAGCAGGCAATTGTCTGCCTGATTTTGCCTGTCTTGTTCTCTTGCTCCTTTCCTGTCCAGGCAGACACCACAAAGCGGTCGATTACAGTTACAGTTCTTGGAGAGTTTGCAGAGTGAATGAGTGATTGTTGTAGAGTGCTGCTGCTGCTGTAGGCTCAATATGGCGGCGTTGGCGAGAGATTATTTGGGGAAGAGGAGGCTGCTGCTGCCGCTGGTGCACACAAGTGTCGCACGATAATAGTGCTCATAATAACAATAATGGCAACTTTGAGACACGAGCAGAGAACAGGCAATTGTGTGCCGGGAAAGAGGAGAGCGCCTTCGTGCTTACGAGGCCAGCTTAATTGCCAGCCCCCTTCATTCTCCTCACTTCACTTGACTTCACTCTTCGACAGCTATGCTGATCAGATGCTGTACTGCTCTAATGCGCCCACTAATAGACCAATGACTGTGTGCGTGTGCGTGTGCTGTTGCTGTTTGGTGGACGGAAAAAGAACGGATGAAGGGACAAATGAACGAATGAAAGGGCACTATCAGTCTGTCTGTCTGTCACTACTTCCGATAAGACTACTAATTCAGGCTTCCTATAACTTTCTCCCCCCCCTCCATTGCTTCAAATAGATTCCCTCTATGCATGTCCGTATCCCTCAGTTCCGCTGTACGCGGATATGACACTCAGTTCAGAGTTTATCGTCGAGGGCACCATCGCCTCCTACAAGTGCAATGAGGGCTATGAGCTCTTTGGCACTGCCACACGCAGCTGCGCTCAGGGCAAGTGGCAGGGCACTGTCCCCTACTGCGGTAAGTCATTCCCTAACTACTCTTAAATGTCATCCCCTTTGACTTACTGACCATCATCATCATCAGCCGTCAATGTGGCGTACGGCAAGCCGACCAACCAGTCAAGTACCGTCAAGGGCGGCGAGTCGCGGAACGCCAACGACGGCGACATGAAGACGGTGCACGAGAACAAGCACTGCACCGAGACGAAGGTGGAGAACTCGCCCTGGTGGCAGGTGGACCTGCTGCAGCCCTATGAGCTTCGCGTCATTCGCATTCTGACCCGAGGTTGCTGCGGCCACCAGCCACTGCACGACCTGGAGATCAGGGTGGGCAACAGCAGCACTGTGGCGGGCAACCGCCTCTGCGCCTGGTACCCGGGCACGCTGGGCGACGGCGAGGCGAAGGACTTTCCCTGCGCCCACCCCATCACCGGCCGATACGTGTACATTCAAATGGTGGGCATCGAGGGGTCGCTGTCGCTGTGCGAAGTGCTCGCCTTCACCACCAGAGAGTTCAGCTCCAACCGGTGCGGCGACCCGATGGAGTACCAGCAGATTGCCAGCTTCAATCAGACGTGCTATGAGTTCCAGACGCAGCGGGGTGGCTCCTTCCAAGACGCGGACGGCTATTGCAAGTCACGCGGCGGTCTGCTCATTCACTCCATCACCGACGTGGCGCAGAACTTTCTTTACTACGAACTGGAACGGTACAAGCCCAAACTGCGCTCTAAACTGATCTGGGTGGGCGCCCGCCGGGACTACCTCACACAGAATACGACGCAGAATCTGTTTGGCACTCGACCACGCCTCTTCTGGCACTGGATCAACGGCGTGCCCATCAACCGTTTTCTCTGGGCGGAAGACCAGCCCAACAACTACAATGGACAGCAGAACTGCATCGTCCTCGACGGTGGTCGGCGATGGCTGTGGAATGATGTCACTTGTGGTAAGTTTTTGTGCCACTACTGCTCATTGGTGCCAGAGTGCACACTGCTTAACTCTTATCTTTTTCCAATAGATCTGGACTACCTGCCCTGGATCTGCCAGTACGCGCCCTCCAACTGCGGCAGTCCTGACATAGCGGAAAACTCGACGGTCATTCGCAGTGACCACCGCATAGGCAACAGCATCGCCTACCAGTGCTCCAGCGGATGTCGACTGGACGGCCTCGAGAAGCGACTCTGTCAGAGCAATGGCTTCTGGCAGGGAGAGGCGCCCAAGTGCACCTACGTCGACTGCGGTCCACTCAAGTCCATTGCCCACGGCAGGGTCAGCTTCATACGGACGGACTTCAACGCCACGGCCACCTACAGCTGCAATGGCGACTACACACTGGTGGGCAGTGAGCACCGACACTGTCTGGGCAATGGCTCCTGGAGTGGCGAGGAGCCCAAGTGCTTCTACAGTCACTGCAGCCAGGCGCTGGAGATTGAGAATGGTTTCGTCAGCGTCACCAATCGCTCCATCAACGGCCAGGCGACCTTCACCTGCAAACTGGGCTTCGTCCTGGTGGGCAATGCTCAGCAAACTTGTCAACTGGGCGGCTCGTGGTCGGGCACTGCGCCCCAGTGTAAATGTAAGTTCTTTTTGGTGACTGTTGTACCACAATGCGTTTAATTTCCCTTTTCCCCAGTCATCGACTGTCGCCTGCCACTGGAGCTGATCCACGGCGTCTACCGACTGCTCAACAAGACCACCTACTACAACAGTGTGGTCAGCTATGAGTGCGATCCCAACTACGTCCTCGTCGGTAATCGATCTCGTGTCTGCACTGAGTACGGCACCTGGAGCAACTCAGAGCCCACTTGCGAGCGTAAGTTGTCTCCTCTATTCTCTTTTTTACCCTCATCACCTCTCTTAATGACACTGCACTCCCTCTCCCTGTCAGTCATCAACTGCGGCATTCCAAAGCGGTCAACGGGTGTTCGCTACGTGGGCAATTCATTCACCATCAATTCAGAGGTGATCTTCGAATGCGAGCCTGGCTACAAGCTGGTCGAGGGAAAAGGTCGCCGCGTGTGCCAGGAGAATGGCAAGTGGAGTGGCAGTGACATCACCTGTCGATGTGAGTACAATGCAATGGCCACTGCTCGAAAGGAAACAGACACACATCATTTCATTGTTCTTTTTCTCTTCCTCAGTTGTCGAATGTGGCCGAGTGCAGCCAATTCTGAAGGGTGAAATTATCTACGTCAACTCGACTACCTACTTATCCAGTGAGATCAACTACTCCTGCGGCACTGGCTACAAACTGGTGGGCAACAAGGCTCGCCACTGTCAAGACGATGGACGCTGGTCAGGCATCAAACCAAAGTGTGAAGGTAAAGTACTGACTGGAAACAAAGAAGAACGCACAACTGCAATTTTGCTTCTATTCCTACTACGCAGAAATTCGCTGTCTGCCGCCGGAGATTCCAAAGAACTCCTCGGTGGTGTACAATGGCAATGACCGCTCCTTCAGTGACTCCTTCAAAGTGGGCTCCACAGTGCAGTATCGCTGTTCGCAGGGACACATCGTCCAGGGTCAGTCACTGCGCACCTGCGAGACATCTGGCCACTGGAGTGAGGCGCCGCCGATTTGTGTCTGTAAGTAAAAACTGATGATGATGCGGTGACTGCCCCTTCCTTCCTTTCCTCAGCAAACAAAAATATCTCTGCTGCGCTGTTGTTTGTCTTTGTCTTTGTCTCTGCTCTGACTCGTGCACTTTGGCGTGCGTCTAATGTGTGTGTGTCTATTAATAATCTCCCTCTCCTTCCTCTACTCTGCAGACATCGACTGTGGTCTGCCATTCCCGCTGACCAACGGCAAGTGGCTGCTGACGACGAACACGACGTACTACGGGAGCACGGTGGAGTACGAGTGCAACACCAACTACAAACTCAACGGCCCTGGTCGGCGAATCTGCCTGGAGAACGGCACCTGGAGCAGTGTGCCGCCCATCTGCGAAGGTAAGTGTGAAGTGCTGCTGCTGATGATGACTGATTCGTGATGAGCACATGCAGATGTAATCGAAACTAATGGACATGTACTTGTGTCACTTCTCCTTTCTTTCTTTCTCTTTATTACACCACACACACACAAACACAACAGTTGTCACCTGTAAGGCGCCAGAGCTGAAGGACGAGCGAACGCTGGTGCAGACGACGAGCTACTACGTCGGCGGGAAGACGACCTATTCGTGCACTCACGGTCTCGAGCTAATCGGCAGTAACGAGCGAACCTGTCAGAACAATGGCCAGTGGAGTGGCCCAGTGCCGTACTGTCGATGTAAGTGGGGAGAAGGACGAGTGATGAGGAGGAGGAGGATGAGGAGCGTGATCTGATGGGCGCAGTCAGACTGAATGAATGACTGAATAAGTGAATGAATGAATGCAGACGGGAGACTCTCTCCCCTTTTTATCACCACTACTTACTAACTATCGTCATCCTTTTTTGTTTCTCGCTCACTCTCTTCTCTTCCACTTCAGTCGTCGACTGTGGCCGACCGCCGATCATACCTAATGGCCGCGGTTGGCTGGTCAACGGAACGACCTTCTACGGCAGTATCGTGGAGTACCACTGCATGGCCGACTTTAGAATGATCAGTGAAAATCAGCATCGCATCTGTCAGGCTAATGGCGAATGGTAAGTGGCGCATCGAGATAAAAGCAGTCTTTTTTTCTNCCACTGCATGGCCGACTTTAGAATGATCAGTGAAAATCAGCATCGCATCTGTCAGGCTAATGGCGAATGGTAAGTGGCGCATCGAGATAAAAGCAGTCTTTTTTTCTCTTTCGGTTTTTGATGACTGTGAGAGTTGCCATTGCTGCCGTTTCTGCGACGCGGCTGTTAATTGCGATAGCTGTTAAGTGCACTTCGACAATGCCACTAAATTGTCCCCGTTTGTTTTTTGCTTGTCTCTGTGTTCGTCTTCAGGAGCGGCACCATCCCGCGCTGTCTCGAGATGAGCGAGGTGAATGAAATTGAGAACTCACTGCGAAACAGCGCCGATCTGGAGGCCGAGGAGAGCGCCGAGGCCTCCAAGTCAATCGGCCTTGGTGTCTCATTCGGCATCGGCACCATTCTCATTCTCATGATCATCATTGGATTTCTCTTCCTCAAAGTGTGCGTACCTTCTTTTATTGTTTTTTCGTTTGCATTTTTCTATTTTTCTAATCTCTCAATCTTATTAGCTAGTTTAGAACACAATATCTAAACAGGCCATCCACTAACTGTTCTTTCATTCTCTTCCATTCTACCAGTAAAAAACAAAAGCCCATAAAGAACACGGAGAACATCGAGGTGAATACCAAACCGAACTCACAGGACGCCGCCTCTCGGGTAATGTCCTACTCGCGCATTTGCCTCGAAACAGACTTCTCAGTGCCGCCGAACATTCGCGGCACCTCTGGCGGCCACAACCTGGTCACCTTCACCTCTCCGAATGCAATCAAGAACCAGCCACTGT